GTATTAAACAGATGAATTTTTATTTGTTACATAGGAGAATTTAATCGATAGGATGAGAAAGCACGTGAAAATAATTTTTAACAAGGTCATCGAATAACTGTTTCAAATGTTTGTTTTTATGCACTCCGCCTACTTTAAGGATATATTGGCTATACAGTCAATCCCAAAAGTTTATGTACCTTAGAAAAATGCATTTCCTATAATTAAAAAGAAATCAGACGTTGGAAGAAAATTGCGAAAAATGCTTCAAATTAAAGTTGTTTTCCTTCTAACTTAGATATTTAACGAGTTACGTATGATTATTTGGCATTTTATTGATGTTGACAAAATCCGACCATCCCAGCGTCGAAACGGCGAACTTTTGACAAAAAATTTCGTTTTTCTTCAATAATTCCTAAACCGTTGGTCCTACGGGAAAATTACATAGGACCTTTCTTGTAGAGGACGACGAGATCTATAATCTCTGTACAAAAGTTCTTCGTTAGCATTAATAGTTTACGAGTTATTGACGAAAAACGAAAAAATGGTTTTTTGTAAATTACTCGTAAACTATTGACGCTAGCGAAATATTTTTACATGGAAATTGTAGATCTCGTCGTCCTCTACAAGAAAGGTCCTATGTAATTTTCCCGTAGGACCAACGGTTTAGGAATTATTGAAGAAAAACGAAATTTTTTGTCAAAAGTTCGCCGTTTCGACGCTGGGATGGTCGGATTTTGTCAACATCAATAAAATGCCAAATAATCATACGTAACTCGTTAAATATCTAAGTTAGAAGGAAAACAACTTTAATTTGAAGCATTTTTCGCAATTTTCTTCCAACGTCTGATTTCTTTTTAATTATAGGAAATGCATTTTTCTAAGGTACATAAACTTTTGGGATTGACTGTATAGCCAATATATCCTTAAAGTAGGCGGAGTGCATAAAAACAAACATTTGAAACAGTTATTCGATGACCTTGTTAAAAATTATTTTCACGTGCTTTCTCATCCTATCGATTAAATTCTCCTATGTAACAAATAAAAATTCATCTGTTTAATACTATATAGACGTTATTTCTAATCTTTTTATAGATTCGGTGTTAAATGTTTATAAATAACGATTGGGTTTTAGGACCGTCTTTGGAGAAAGACCAGGAAACCATACGGTGTTCTATGCCACGGATCCGACCCTAACAGGAACTGGGGTTACAAATGGATGTGTAAGTTTCTAATCTGGAGCTCGTCGGGTTTGATTTCTTCGTCTTATTTAAAATGTTTGATTAATCTGTAATTTTTAGCCGGTGGTGCTAGCAACAACCCGTGCTCTGAAACTTATGCCGGAAGCGCCGCGTTCTCCGATGTTGAAACCAAATCGATGTCTGAGTACATCACGTCGATTTCCAACAAATTCAACTCCTACATCTCGTTCCACAGTTACTCGCAGCTTTTGATGTTCCCTTACGGTCACACCAAGGATCATTTGGAGAATTACAACGACGAGGTGAATAAATTATTTAGTTTCTTTGCAAGTACACTCTACACTCGGGAATGTATACAGATTATTTGAAAAAATATAAATTAAGATGACAGTGATAAGACTATCAGAAATTAATTGCGCACGATTTTATCAATCATTCTTGATTTTATCAGTAAGCGTTTATCATTAATTAATTGGTAAGATCTTTGATAACAATTGTACAGATTATTATTGGCTAAGATGAATCAGCTCTGATTTGATATATTATAACTCTAAATTACTTTTCTTTGTTTCAGCTCCAAATCGGTAAGAAGACAATTGAGGCTCTGGCCAAACGTTATGGAACTCAATACAAGACCGGAAACGTCGCCGAAACCATTTGTAAGTACACATCTCTCTTTAAATGCAACAGAAATTAATAGACTATAGACGTCTACGCATTTATGGAAATCTTCCATCATACTAAAGAACAGAAAATTAGGAATTCGCATAAACATCCGCAGTCTAACATAATAACTACCACTGAAAATATAATGAGAATCAAATATAGTTGTAAACCGATTAGTTGAATTGAAAAAAAAATTGAATGATACAGAAAATTTCAATCTGATTTGCAATTAAGCTGCAATTTGTATATAAATAAAATTGCATTGATGAGAAAAAAGTATTGATTGAGGTAATTAATCAATACGCTTTATCTCTAATGCGTTTTCGCTTTCAGATGTCGCCAGTGGAAGTACAGTGGACTGGGTGAAGGGAACTTTCCACAAACCTATAACTTACACGTATGAATTGAGGGACACCGGCCGTTATGGTTTCCTCCTCCCGCCGGAGCAAATTGCACCTACATCCAAGGAAACTCTGGACTCCCTGGTCGCCCTATTCAAAGAGGCTAAGGCACGAGGATACAATTAAAGAATTACAAAAAAGCATAATTTTATTTTTCCGCAGATTTATAATAAAGTCATGCAATAAATTGTATTAATTTCCAAAAAACTTCAATGCGAAACTAATTTGATTTCATCTCCTTTATCTCACTATTCCTTATTGCAGTAAAAAACATTTATTACAATTTATTATTCGTTGATTTCGTTTTTAATACAATTATTTAATACTGTTTATTTACTACTATTAATTCATTGTATTATTTCAAAATATCAAATCAGAAATTAAAAATCTGCGAGCGTCTTCGCGACGGCTCTTAATTCCTTTCTCGCAATTTTTCCTGAATGAGTATGTGGCAAGGTTGGTAAAAATTTTACTCCGCCACGGAGCTTGTGATGATCCATCAAGTTCATTTCCACAATTTTTATTAATTCTTCTGCGGAGACCTACAAATTCCAAATAATAAATACCATTTGTATTCATCCGGCAGTCTTTTACAAATTGTATACATGAATATGGTAGTTCCAGGACAGATGAATAATAACAATTTTCTACAATCTGTCATCGATAACGGACATATTTACAGCCTGTACAAACTGTAGACAGTCTGTCTTGTAACATTTCGTCAACTTTAGCATATATTATAACTAAATATATATTATATAATATATAATAACATTAGCATAATAATTCAATGCATGAGCACGTACCTCTTTATTTGGTACCTTGCTAACAAAAGCAACGGGATGTTCGTCGTCGGTAGGATGTGGTATGCCAACCACTGCTACTTCTAAAACAGCTGGATGGGAATGTAACACAGTTTCGATTTCTACAGGTGTCATTTGATGTCCCTGGTATTTTATAAGTTCCTTCAATCTGTCGATAATGAAAAATTCTCCTTTCTCGTTATAGTAAGCCAGGTCGCCCGTGTGCATCCATCCTTGAATAGAAAGAATTACAAAATGTCGAGTTTTGAGCGGAAAGAAAGAACTTATTTCAGCCATTTCGGAACATGAGGTCTTTTCGGAAGTACAGTCGCAGCTGACTAATTCAAAACATGGGGGTTCTTCGAAAGTTTAGCCAGCCAATTAAAGAACGTATTGCTTTCTGAATAATTTAAGACAATGAGAATCAACAAAAAAATATGTTTTTGCAGATTATTATTCTTCTATCTGCAGTAAACAACAGTGATTTGAATAAACTGTTTTTAAAATATCATCCCAATAATTACATTGTTTCAACGTAAGCTTGTTCCAAATGTATTTACCCTCTTTGTCGATGGTGGCCTTCGTGGCTTCAGGGTTTCGGTAATAGCCGGTCATCATTGACCACGATTTCACACAAAGCTCGCCAGGCTGATTCGGACCGAGCACGTTCCCTGTCCCGGGGTCCACGATTTTCGCTTGGCAGTTCGTGCTTATCACGCCACAAGATCCGCTCACGGTGTCCGGTAATTGTATAAGAACTAAGCCGCAAAGCTCGGTCATACCTACGAGAACAAATCACCCTTCTTTATCGTTAAACCTATAGTCGACGGAAGAGATATAGTCAGGTGGTAAAATCCGACCTATCATAAAAATGATGTCAGCTTAGCTACCGCAAAAATAATTGCAGGTAGAATTTAGTTCTCAATACAGGTCAGAGCTGGGGGCAAATAACTTTACGTTATTACTACATTTTAAAATCGGTATTGATCGATTGTGAGTGAAGAGAATTAAAAATTTTAATTGCTTTCTTCGCAAATCTGGAAATTTCCGACTGCCGGAAACTTTCAGGTTCGTGCACACAACCAAGAGTTGCAGACAATTTTCATAGTTCAATAAAAGTAACTTCCATTTTTTGCAATATTCAAAAACATACTTTTTTTTTTAAACCGCTATTTTTCAGAAGCGACACGTAATAGAATATTTCCGCTTCCGGGTCTGTATTTGGCATGAAAAATTCTACAAGGATCATATAGTGGATATTGCAAACAAAATTTTTTGTTGTACAGTGTTTTTCTATCCTTCAGTAAGTATTTTCACGTCTGATAAACGCGGCCCCGTGTAAGTGACCAGGATTAACAGTTACTAATTTTTATGACGAATTTCATCATGGCCAAATTTTACAACCTCGCTATATCTCTTCCACCAACTACACATTACTCATTTTCTCTTTTTACATTTGTTGTGCAAGTTTACCGTATGCTTGTATAATTCGTGTGTTCGGCAAATTTTTTCTCATTAATTCCTCTGACTCTTTCGTAAGGATAGCTCCACCGGTAAGCAACGTTTTCAAGGAGGATAAGTTGTATTCGTGTAAGTGATTATATCGGACAAGTCGATTCGACATGCTGGTGCTCAACATTAACCAACTAACCTGTGAGACAATTAAAATAGAAAGAACTAAAAAAACAATTGGAGAAAAATCATCCAACAGTCGTTAGCCGCATGTTATTTAAACGATTCTTTAATAAACGCCAAGGACTCATATTTATAATCTATTACCCTTTATATTGTTAAATGTAATTTCTTCTAATTACGAATTACGACATAATTTTTAATTTAAGTTTATACAGCTTTAAGATTTTTATATCAATGTGAAAGTGTGCTTAAGCACTTTAACGAGGCAAGAATCCACAATACGGGACATAACATGGGTACACTTACTTGAAATTTTTCAATCAATTCGCAAGCAGTCTTCTCGTCGAAATCCGGCGCGATAATTTTCTTCGAGTAACTAGTGATGCTCTTCAAACTGAGTAGAGACCCACTGACCCAGTACAGGGAGCTGAACCACATGGGTGTCGTTGTACTTAGAGCAAAATTCTCGTTTAATTCCATCACGTTCAATAGCGCTCTGTTTGACAATTGCGTACCCTTCGGTAAGTCCGTCGTCCCGGACGAGAAGAGGATCAACGCCGTGAGGTGATCCTCGATTTGTTTGCACTCGAAGTTAACCACCGCAGATTCAGTATGATCTTTTAACACGTCCGAGAACGGTATTGTTCCAGGAAAGCCACTAAAGGATACCACTTTCGTGTGGAAAACCTCGATTTTTGACGCTTCCATTATCACACTCACCGATTTCTCGTTCGCGAAGATTACTTTCGGCTGCGTCAGTTTGATAAAATGACGCGCCAGTTCTAAAAAATCAGATAATAGTTAGGAACGTTGAATTGAATTGTAAGAATAATACGCATTCGCCGCCGATTAAGTGGACGACAGGGGTGGAAAATCTTTTTTATATGTTATAATAATTATCTGTTATAGAAAAGATCGCTTATTACACAAATCTGTATTGTATGTATGTATATGTATATGTATTTCATATTTCTAAAATATTTGATTTTGTGACTTTTAAAATTATTATACATCTCCCCCGGAATTACGCTATGAGTGTATAAAAAAAATGATTGCCCTTGACAGACAGATCTGAAAATTTCAATCAAAACCACGACAAGACAATTTCCCGCTAGCAGTTAGCGTTTGTGTTGAAGTCTATAACTACTATTACATGACTCATGATAATAACTAATCATACACGAAGCTTCTAATTACGCAATCTTTTAAGAGTGTAGTTAAGGTACCGACAACTTAATTCTCATTGTCAATATCACTGCACGTGCAGAGAGTGGCCTGCGATTTGCCATCTCGCGTCAATTTAGTGATAATGAATAGCGAGCGTGAATGAAATGACAAGTGGAAAAAACCCTGATCGAGTAATTGGAAACGTTTAAAGAATGTTTGCTTCATCATGAAAATGGAAAAGGAAAACTTACGGATATTCATTTCGTAATCCCATGGATTGGCGATAGCGCCCAAAAAAAATGTCGCGAAGTATGGGACAACGGCATCCAAATGATTATGCGTGGAAATTGCGACGACGTCACCCTTTCCCACTCCGTATTTTTGCAACCACAGAGCACATTTCACAGCACGATCCGCAATTTCTCCGAAGGTGTCTTCGTTTCCGGTGATCGTGTCCACCTAAACCATTAATCCCTTATTATACGGTGGCCATCCGTTCTATATTTTAGCAGCTTGTTCCCGAAATTTAAAAAAAAAGACTACGAGACATACAAATGTTCTGTATTTATTTTTTACTCCCGTATTTATACGTATACATATATATATAAATTACATAACGTCAAATGAGACAAAATGGATCTTTTGCAACTAAGTTCCTGTATGTATATTTTATATTGAATGAATGAATAATTTTTCCTATTTCTCCAAATTTCACTTCATTTCTTAATTTAACAATAAATTTCTTCATATCTTCTGAAGTTTCTGTACGTTTTTCACTCACAATTCTATTTATGTACTAAGAATGTCAAAGTAATTGAGATTGATGAAAATTTACACCAATTCACGTTTATTCATAAATTACTGCTTCTAGAAAACCACTTTACTGGACTATCTTTCATAACAGACTAACTACTTTTGCTGTATTGTATATTCACTTTTGACGCGTTCGTAAGAAATCTACTTCAGATAGGCGCTTGTTTTAAAAACATTGGAAATGTATTTCACTTACAAATGTGTGCTTATATACGAACTAATATGTATGAAGTATATACTCATTTTTTACTCTCACTGGATATGTTACGTATTGCATCGATGTGTGCAAAATGAATAAGAACGGATTGCAGTGAAAGTAAATGATGACTATTGGAATTCGCAGCTGTGGAAAACAATGATAATACGGAGAGTACAGTGAACCGTGTTTGTATCAAGTGTTTGACGAAGATCGATAATTTATTGTGTTTGTTAACTACGGTGATACGATATGATCTGATCACGCGAAAGCGTTATTACAAGCTGCATCAACACCATTTTTAAAATGTAACTGATGAAAAATGTCAGCTTTTAAATTGTAAAACATTATCTATTCGTTTATCCTATCAAATTTTATAGACAGTACGCATAAATCAGAATTGAACAAATAGTTTTATAATTCACATGGAATTTCTCGATTAATTATTCATTTGATATGATGGATTCTGCAACTTACCTGGCCGATAAAATCCGGCTTGTTTCTTAAAGAATCGAACAGTAACTTCCCAATGCTAGTGTATTTGCTGTCTATCTTAACAACCCTTCCCTTCAATATGTTGTCTTCGATTGTGAACAGTGGCTCATCCTAAGTACAACAATTTTGTAATAATCGTGGAATCATATCGATGTAAGTCAATCATTATCTTTTACAAAAGAAGTTAATGATTAAAAATACAATTAATTAACTCTTAAAAATTCTGTTTACACCGCTATAATTTCAATTTGTATTAAATTAAATCAAATCAAGCGTGAAAAACTCGTTGAATTTCTTACGTTGCTCGTTCCCTTGCCGTTGACAACCATTGTAGTCGAACTCAATGGGATTTGTTTTCTAAAACACTCAAATCTTCTTCACATCTAAACAACTAGAAGGATGAAAGTGGTACACTTGACGGAGACTCTTAACCGACTGCCATGGAAAACATGAAATGCACAGTCTTTTCTTAACACGCATGTAATGCCACTTCATTGCTTCATCCACGTGACGATCGACATGATTCGTGTATTCGTCAAGATTATAGTGTTTCGACTCCTTTACCGAGCACGACCTTCGTTGTTGATTGTTGAAATCGTTGGAAAGGAAATGACTTGCACTTTAGTAGCACGACCCCTACATGTACACATATACTTTATGCATTTACAAGTTTTCAACATTTTCAGTTTTACTATATTTATTTTACATTTAAATGATTGGAAATTGGAACATTTGATTGGAAATTCCACTTTGTGCGTAAGGTTGTTCAAAAGTACTTCAATTTTCCAAAATGTTTACTCTTGTCATCTCAGCACAACTATCATTTAAAAAATGTTACATCAGGCTTACGCTGTGTGTAATTGTTGGGATTACTAAAATAATCGACACGTGTTTAACTCAATAAACAGAAAAATATATATTTATATTACGGCTTTAACCAATAATAAAGAAAAACAAAATAAACTAAACAAATATTAATTCTCTTCAAATACAAAAGTTTTATGCCTCTACGGGCTGCGCAGTCTTACATGATCGCAAACTATAAGGCGAATGAATAATAACCAACCAAAAATGCCCTTCCGGCCTAGGCTTGTACACACAATTTATTATAGTGCGTGTCATAGTATTGGATGGGTTTTCTAAGTTGAATGTCAATTGAGTTAATATTATTTATTATATTGTAAAAATGCTGTGGACCTCTGCTAAAGACATTTCGCATAGAAGACCCAAGCCACTTGATTCGGTGGGGTCGAAGTCCTTAAATGGTAATGCGCGCAAGGACTGGATCGTCTTGATCTCTTGAATCAATTTAATCTTTCGCTGAGTCTCTTCCTCCCTCTGTTTAGCCAACTGAGCTCTAAGCTGACGTGACTCTTCGGAAACTTCAGCGGCTAATTATTCGAAGTTAAACATTATTTTATTTCTTACTCAATTCAATTTATATTTACAGTGTTGCCCACTAATATTCCCAATTCAAAACTGGATAATTTTTTTAATATTGGACATAACGAATTAATTTTTGTTTCAGTACAAGGAAGATTAGTTTACTACACGATTTGTAACAAGAAATTAAAAATAAATTGATATAAGTCGAATTTATGAAGAAAGGGGAGTTAAAAATGTTAAAATAAACATACGATTGGATCTGTCTGCCTAACCGTAAGATGAAGGCTACAAAAACTAGCATGAAAACTAAGAAACAGGAAATGAGATAATTGAATAGAAAGCTAAGATAGAAATACATACAGGAAAACGGAAACCTAATAGAAACGTGTCAATGTCCAGCTGCCATACTCCGACGAATAACAATCTTTTTTAATTTTGTGTTATTAATATGTATAGTAAACTAAGCCGTCTAATACACCGAAGAATATTAACACTACACCTACCGATAGTTGTACACTAATGTACTATATTTATATTTTTTACATTTCTATAAAATTTATTGTACAATGTGGCACTAGCTTAAATAGTAATTACAACTTTAATAATATGACCAAATAAATTTCTTTCGTTTTCTTTTCATTTCTTATGAAAGAATTTAGAAATGATTTGACTGGATCAGATCGTTTGACCGATGTATGATAGGATTAGTGTTAAGTTGTTTGGATCAATATTAAAAAAGTTATTTAGTGTTGAAATTGCCACGGATATTATTGGCAGTGACTGTACATACCCTTTTGTCTTTTTTCGTCGATCATATGGTTGAAAGCTTCTCGAGAAGCCTGTTCCATTTCGCGACACTTTTCAACAACCTCCATCATTTCCTTATTGTGGTTCTCCCTCCACTTTTCTAATCTCTCATACAGTTCTTGTTTCTGAACAGATACCAATTAATTTTGTAAATAATTAAATGAATAATTTCATTTACTAAATTATTTGTCTCATTGTGTATTATCGATAGAATTTGCAAAAAATATGTATACGATTTTAATACAAGTTGAACTGAACAACAGTTAAAGTTTCGAATTTTCATTTTCAGTAAAGGAAATATAAGGTTTCAGCGAAAATTGTTTAAAAAATGCATTACGAAATTCTTATTTTTAACACGGGAGCTTATGGAAACTTTTGTATAAATGCCTCGTGCGATTTCATATCATGTACGTTTTCAATTAAAAAACAGATGCTTATAGATTTTCTTATGGGGAATGCNATACGAATGTGGAAATGATAATATACATTTAATACTGAAATTTTCACTTCGTGTTCTTATTTTAAAATAAGCCCATTGTAGGCCCCTCCCTTGATACGTTATTCAAATAGCGAGCTACCTTAAATACATGCATATGTATACATGTGTATTGAGCAGTTGTCCATAATGAATAAAAACTAGACATTCATTGTCAAACATTTGGAATCTAAATATTGTGAGTATTGGATATAAGTACAATAACTAACAATAAGAGGGACGATTTTTGTACATACCTCCTTCCGCACATTTTTTGCGTGAGCCTTAACATCATCCAATAACAACTGTTTCGCGATAAACGCACCCTCTCGAGTGAGCAATCCTAAAAGATGTTTCTCTTGTATTTTTAACAACTCTTCTTCCCTCTGCTGTTGTCGTTTCTCCTCCTCGAATTTTTGTACCGAAGACGGATCAAGCCCGCCTGCCGTTAGCGCTTTCAATCTACAATTTTATCAATGCAACAAACAAGCACCGTTCCATTATATCATCCTTCTATATTTACTTTTTGATTTCTTTCTCTTCGTCGCTAATTACTCGCGCGCATTCCCTTAATATAGATGCTGCCGTTTGTTTTACCTCGACAGGCTGCAGGAAACAAACTGTCAATTTGGCAAAAAATAATTATTCTATCATTTTATGCACCTTGAAGCTAGGAACTGGCTTTCTCAAAAAATGTTTTTTCGGTTCTCCTATCTCTACCACTTTTACTGAATCTTTGCGTCGCTGAAAGCAATTCGGGGCGTTCACATTCGCATCTATTAGCAGGTTTACAGCGTTCATCTTATTAGTCGCGCGCAACGACTCTAATTTCATCTCCGTTGATGGTCGAATGTAGTTCGTCCTCGGAATCGGACGCGTGAACTTCATCGCCGAAAAATCCTACCCAGGATATCAGTCTTCAAAAAAGGGGAAACTTCAAGCTTCTCTACTAATCTAACTGATATGTGCGAATAGATATTTTCTTACAATTATTTTTTTACAACTTGCACACACTGATTTCTATTTTACATGGGATACAACGCTGTCTCACAATCAGTATTGATGGTACAATCGTGGAACAAGTGATAGGTACATGAGAAAATAAGTACAAAATATTGAATAAATTTTTTTCACTTGAAACATTTTTTTAAAGAAAATCGACTTTGAATTTCCTCCGAGTATGCATGCCCTTGACTATATCGTGATTAAACGGATCATAATACGAATCTACATAAAAATCGGTGTATGCGGATTTAGTACGTTTCCTTGTCGTAACAGTAATCTCAGTCAGTTTATTGTGAAATATAAGAGAGTACTGCTCACTTCGGGAGTATTAGGTGGAGTCTTTGTAGCCGGGCTAAATCGATTTAAAACGTTCATCTGCATGGGAGTCGTTAACTCTTTTTTACGCGGTTCCACGTCTTTCAGATAATTTTTCAAATGATCCCGGAGTTTCTATCAAAAATTAATTAAAATCAATTGACAACATTATGGGAATAAAGATTTTTAAAGGGTTAATTATCGCACTGACAGTTAAAAAATTAAAGTTTAATCGTTAATTTAGATCTTTTCCAATTAGAAATTAAAAATTAGTCCTTAATTGAGAATTTTCTAATTACGGATTGAAGACATTGTGCATATATTATTAATCTCCATTAACAATTAAATTTTACAATCAGATAAAATCTCAATTAACGTTTAAATCTTGATTGTTTTAAATGCATTAAAGATTTAATCATTAATTTACAACCCTCTAATCTATTGATTAAAATAAAACACCTCTAAACATGGTGTGGCATCCAAAAATGGCAACACGAGATTCTGATCCACGAAATCTTCCTCGTATATTAAGCAACCCTTTTTATGATACAAAGTTGGCGTTTCCGTGCGAAGGAGATACGTAATAAGGGACAACATTCTTTTTACTTTGAAATGAACGAAACAATTGATGGAATCCTCGAAAAATAGAGTGAATATTCTGTACGACAGAATATACACGAATACTAGAAAATGTTACAATGATAGAAATACGAATGAAAATGTGTTACAAGTATATACTCATAATCACTCCCATTAATATTCGTATCCGTTTCAAAACTAACGAATAAATTATCTAAAACGAGGATAAAGAGTAGGACAATTCCAGGACAGATGAACCACTTTTTTAAACATGTTTGAAAATCAAATATTTTAGTAAACACTTTACTTATCAATTTATGTAATTAATGATCTTTTCTACAACATATAATTATTATCATACAATATTGTTACGAAGAACTGCGGTAAGAAGAAAATGTTCATGCTTTTGATCCGTCTCTTGCAACTGTACAAATTACGAGGAAAATATCTCTCATATCATAACAATTCGAACAAATACATATATTGACTTTATTTAAATGGACTATCCTGTATAGTAAACCTTAACTCTTTAACTTAACTTGAGTAGCTTTCTAACGTCTCAAAGAAAATTAACTCCTTGACATACAAATAAAACAGAGTTTGATGCGTTCGAAAAATACTATTTAAATTCTAATACTAATTGATACTAGTTAAATTTTTGACGTCTCGGAGACGTCAGTCTATAATGGCACGTGGAACGAATGACGTCTCACAGACGTCATTGTATGTCATAGGGTTAAGTTGTTTCAACCACTATTTGAAAAGTTATTCAGGTTTAAAATGAATACGAACATTAATAAGAGTTACTATATTTTCTACATAGAAGACAATAATTGAGAGTTCAATTTACTTACCCATAATCTGATGCAGCTGATTGTACTTACGACAATTCTGCTTATCTAAATAATCCTTACCTACCGATTCCAAGAAAGTCACGTAACGAGCAATATGCATCAGCAAATCGACAATTATATTTTGCAACGAGCTCGGTAGAGTCTTTAATATTCAGAAAATAGACCTTCATTCGTTACGTGTGTAATAATTGATTTTTAATGCATCGCATGATTTTTTAACCTGGAGCTCCTCGTGATTATGAAAGTGTTGTTTAACTGGGTTGAATTCCATTTTAGATCTATCTGATTCTTCCTCCTTAACGAACAAATAAATGCAGAACTCGTCTGGACTTAATTCATGTTTCAGCAACATGTATACATCGAAAATTTCAATTAACGGGATCAAAATGTCTAGTTGAAAGACGTTCGTTTTTGTCAACTATAATGGAAATTTCTAATCCATTACGAGATTCGTTAAACGTAATAGTTCATCGTACCTCTTCGTCGATGCAATCCATTTCTCAGAAATCTACTTCCGTTTAATTATTTAATCAACCCCAATTTTACGTTCCAAGACTCACCGACTTCGTATATAATTCGATATTAAACATTACACGCTGCGACTTCAAAAGGCAAACAAACTCAGACATCTTCGGATCGAATTTGAAAGTTCTTAAAATTATATGATCTGTAAGATCTCTATCAAAAGTCTACGGAATCTGATAAAAGTTGACCGTAATTTAGAGCGATAATGTTTTAGGAAAAATGATATTCACAGAGAATATGATATTTCGTCACTGTTTTTATTCAAGTTAGTTCTTTGCTATTTGAAATATTTTAAACTAATAGCATAAATATTTTATTTTGAAAAAGAATCAGCAATGCATGCTACAAAATGTTAACGTTACTATCGAAATTTAAATTCAAAATACTGATTTTAAAATTTATTAAACACGTCCTTTATATTTTAATTCATAATCTCACAAAGCGTTGCTTAATTCTTAGAACTTTGAAAAACTATTGAATCA